GGGCCCCGCCGCCCCGCGCGGCGCGGGTCGTGGGTGTGGCAGTGGCCTGCAGCCGGGCCCGGGTGGGCCGGCGCAGGGCCCCTCCGCCCTCCGCCGCCTTGCTCGGGGCGGGTCCCGGGGGTCTTCTTCCAAACTTTTGAAAATACTATTGTAAGATTAATTTTGTGGTAAACATAGTGATCGAAAAAATATCTAACAGGGACTGATTTTTTTTTTTTTAAGGCTAATTAAGGAAAGTACTTCTGAAAGAAAATTCAGATTTACCAAAATTTTCAGACTCAAAGACACTGAAAATCAGAAGTAACTTCTGTAGTAAAAGGGAAAAAATTCAGATACTACAGTTTTTCTACTATAAATTAAAATATTTGCTGTAATTCTGTAAGAACATTTCATTAGTGGCACCAGAATTTCAATCGTTTTCCCTCAGACTTGCCAAGGCAGGAAAAAAGAAAGTGCTAGATGTACACACACTTTGATACAGGAGTCTTTGTAATGCCGACTGACTTACGAGCTCTTCTTGCAAGACAACAGGTTGTGCATTTTGTAGACTGCATGAAGAGAATAGAAAAACTTGTGTCTGTAATTGTCTTGGTATAAAAGTAATTGTGCCCTTTTGACAAATACATCATAGGTTGAGTCTTGGTATAGATCTTAGTTTTTTATTGCCCCTTTAACAAGTTGCTACACATACAGCAGCTTAAAATCCTACAAATGTATTCTTTTACAGTTCTGGAGATCACAGGTATGAATTGGGCTTTACTGAGGTAAAATCACGGTATCAGCCAACCTATGTTTCTTCTGAAGGCTCTAGGGAAGGATATAGTCCCTTCCTTTCCCAGCTGCTACGAGTTACCTGCCTTCCACAACTTGTGGCCCCATCCTTCATCTTCAAAGCCAAGAGTCTAATGTCTTCCAGTCTTCTCTGACTCTGACTCTCCTGTGTGTCTTACAAGCATTCTTGTGATTCTTGTGTCTAATGTAAAGAACCATTTGGATTGCCAAGGAAAAACTTATTTTCAGATCTTTAATCATATCTACAAAATTCCTTTTGTCATGCAAGATAACATATTTATGGCAAATTTGGGATTAGGGCATTAACATCTTGAGGGGACCATTATTTTGTCTACCACACTATGATACAAAAAAAAGACATGGGTACTGTACTGGCAGTTTTCTTCCTAAAGTTATTTCTCTTTATCAGAATACTGTCCTTTTTAGTTGATGTAGTTCCATAATGTCTTTTTATTTCCTTTTATTCTTCTGACCATTCAGATTTATGCTTCACACCTGGTGATGCAGTTCAGATGGCAAAATACTTTAATGGAGACTTCCGCCCTTTTTTCTTTGATCACCAGGTTTGCACAGGGTGTGCTTGTGTGGAAGGTAGAACTAAAAGTAATAATCTTGCATATGTGGATAATCTTGTGCATGCCAAGAATCGGGCTGGACATTTGATGTACATTGTCCTGTTTGATCTTCACAGCAAACTTCTGAATTCCTCATTTTCTTTTGAGACTTGGGTTTTTAATAACTTGCCCGAGATCACACACTTACAAGAATTAGAGGTGCAGTTAGAACCTTATCTTTTTCTTAATTTATTTTCCTCTCATTGTCAAGCTCATACATGATCATCATATTAAAAATGTGGATATAGAACAAAATATAAAGCCATAGAATAGTAACCTGTTTTTCTGCATTCTTGTGTTATATGCTATTTTGTGAACTGATTCTTTTATGCTTTTTGTGTAACTTGAACAACTCTTCATAAGTTCCAAATTTAATCACCTTATAATATTTTAAGATAGCCAGTTTCCTTCCACCATACCATACTATGCCTTTCCAAGTAAGACCTTTTTGAGAACACAGTAAAAAATTCATATAGTTAAGTAGGAATATGAAATCCAGTGCCCAGATGAGTAAATACTGTCTGAGAGGATTAGAGAGGAGACAGGCTACTATAAATTGACCTACTTGGATAATTTGTAATGACAAGGTCAGGGTTTGTAGGAAAAACTTACAGGGACACCAGATCTACTTAAATGATAGTGAAATCATGAAATTGTGGCCTTTTCTAGTCAAGATACTGTTTTAAATTGTGTGTCATAGGAAGGGAGTTGGGGGAAGGGGGAGGAGAAAGGAAGAAAAGGAAAGATGATAGAGTTAATCTTGGAAATATTTTGAAGTGAGATCAGCAAACTATTGCTATCCCATCTTAATAACTAATAAAAATTATGATTGGCTTTTGTTTATCTTTGACAGACATATAGTACTAAACATCTAGAGATATTGTAAACAAGCTCTAAGTATATAGCTAGAGCTCTCTTTTTCTTTTGTATTGTGAGTGAAATATAAGAAAGTATATTTATGTTCTTTAGTTATATAGTCTAAGGAAAACTATTCTCCACCTAATTTTTTATATATGTATATTTTGTTTGTTTCTGATTTTTTCAAGGACAGGAAAATAATGGGTTTTGATTATAATTGCTAGATTGATGAAGAGCTATCTAACTGAAAGGCTGCCCACATAAAATCTTGTATTTAGAAAATTAGGTCATTGCTTAAGTTGCTCCAGAATTAGAAATTCATTGTATACATTTGTCCTGAAGGATGCTTAATTACTGTCACGTCAAGAGCCAGAAGAAGCATTAAACATAACTTTCTGACTTCTTGCAGTATTTCATGTGTGATTTTTCTGTTTATTTAGGTACCCAGAGGCTTACCTTACTTTTCTGTGGATTTTGGCCTCCAAGGAGGGTTTGCCCATGTCATTGAAGATCAACACAAATTCCCTCATTACTTTGGAAAGGTAAGCTCACAAATTTGATAAAAGACCAGAGTTTAACTTTTTGGTAATGGATTTCTTTTGAAGGGAAATAAAAATTTGGGGCACAATGTATAGTGAGGTTGGTGAGTACTGCTTCACTTAATTTTTTTTTTTTAAAGATAGAAATATTTTCTTTATTAATGACCCCAGCCACATTTCCTTAGATACAGAACTTTTGAGCTAAAAATATGCAAAGAAAATAGGCTAAGATTGCACTGTCCTGCAACTCATTACCAGTAGCATGTTGTAAAGCCAGACAACTTGGAAAAAGGGGCGGGAGGGGAATTTTACTCATTTTTAAAAGAGAGAACCCAGAAACTGTTAATAAAAGTTTCCAAAATGTCTACAGCAGTCACGAATGTCACTTTGGAACCAAATGTTTTTTTTTTTTTTTTTCTTTTTTTTTGGAGAGGTTTTTGCTATAGGGCGCGTGCGCTCGCCAGACAGACAGAGAGAGACAGAGAGATAAAAAGCAGGAAATCACCCCCCAGGGGGGATGGCCACGCCGCAATCCCTTCTCCTCCATTCTCCTCTCGGGATCTTGGGCACGCACGCACACACGCCCGGCGTGAGTTTAAGCCACCGGGTCCGGGACTCGAACCGCGGTCGACTACGTGGGAGTCCAGCGACATAGCCATTACGCTAACTGCTGGTCCCTGAACCAAATGTTTCTTGACAGGGTCAACAGTGACTATAATATTTTCCTTTGGAATCAGCTAACCTTGTGCTGAGAATGAGGAGAACCACTAGTACTTACTAAGGTCTTATAATGTGCCAGCTTTAATACTTTTGTAAGCACTCATTAAATGCTCATAATGACTCCATCGTGTAGATAACAACTTGCATTTTACAGATGAAGAAACTGAGCTACAGAGAGGTTATATGACTTGACCAGAGTCAAGTGCTAATAAGTAACAGAATCAGGGTACATGTGTTCATGGTTGAACTTGAGAACCCATTACCTCACCTCTTCACTTATAGTTAAGCAAGGTATAGTTGAAGAAGTGTACACAACACATTTCACACAAATAGTTCCTGGGCAGATATTAGAGCGCAGATCTTTTGATTGCCATTATGTTTTTGCCGTTACTACAGATTGATTTCTAGGGGTATCGTCCTTAAAGGTCTATTCAGAGAAGAAGGTATGGGAACCAGCAGTTAGCGTAATGGCTATGTCGCTGGACTCCCACGTGGTCGACCGCGGTTCATGTCCCGGACCCGGTGGCTTAAAACTCACGCCGGGCGCGTGTGCGTGTGTGCCCAAGATCCCGAGAGGAGAATGGAGGAGAAGGGATTGCAGCGTGACCATCCCCCCTGGGGGGTGATTTCTCGCTTTCTGTCTCTATGTCTCTCTCTGTCTGTCTGGCGAGCGCACACGCCCTACAGTGAAAATCTCTCAAAAAAAAAAAAAAAAAGAGAGAAGAAGGTATTACTGGGATGATCTCTTTCCATTTATAGCTGCTTCAGTAACAGAATAAGAGTTAATCTTGCATTGTACACATAGGACCACACTCAGTGTTTTAGAATCAATTTCAGGTCAACTTTTATAAGCTAGGCTTTATTAAGGTATTGTTTACTTGGGCTTATGCAGAGAATTTCTTCACTAAATCTAAATTTGCCTCATTTGTCTTAATGTTTTGTATAGATTACTGTTTGTATGGCCCCCTTTTTTTCTTTTTCCTAATTGATAGGAGGTTCCCTTTTTTATGAAATTTTTTTTCATTCATCCAGCAAATAGATTTTTTTTTTTTTTTGAATCTCCAAATGGTCTACTTTGGCACTTACCTTCACTTCTTTATGAGACAGTCCTTTGTATTGCTGGATTATTATTCTTGTAAAAGCACCATATTCTCTCCTAAGCTCTCAGAAGGCAGATAGCGACAGAGAGAGACAGAGACAGTGAGAGAGAAAGTGAGAAATCACCCCCCTGGGGGATGGCTATTGCTGCCATCCTTTTTCCTTCATTCTCCTCCTGGGATCTTGGATATGCATGCACACGTGCCTTGTGTGAGTTTCAAGCCCTTGGGTCTGGGACTTGAACTATAGTTGGCTGTGTGACAAACCATCAACCTAACTGCTACACCATCTGCTGACCCCGAGAATGTGACTTAAATGCAGGTGATTTATAATTTTTAATTTTAGGTTTACTTAGTATTAAAATATACTTCTTGAAAAGAGATCCTCCAGCTAATAATCAAAGAAACTTTTTTTTTTGGAGAGGTTTTTGCTATAGGGCATGTATACTCGCAAGAGAGACAGAAAGCAAGAAATCACCCCCCGGGGGATGGCCATGCTGCAATCCCTTCTCCTCCAATCTCCTCTCGGAATCTTGGGCATGCATGCACATGCGCCCAGTGTGAGTTTAAGCCACTGGGTCCAGGACTCAAACCATGGTCGGCTACATGGTAGTCCAGCGACATAGCTATTATGCCAACTGCTGGTCCCAAGAAACTGTTTTTTAAAGATAGAAGTGGAAGGACCAGCAGATGCGATGGTTACGTCACTGGATTCTCACATAGTCGACTGTGGTTTGAGTACTGGACCCGGTGGTTTAAAACTCATACTGGGTGCATGTGTGTGCATGCCCAAAATCCTGAAAGGAGATTTATTAAGCTGTTGTTTACTTGGGCTTATGCAGAGAATTTCTTCACTAAATCTAAATTTGCCTCATTTGTCTTAATGTTTTGTATAGATTACTGTTTGTATGGCCCCCTTTTTTTCTTTTTCCTAAGTAAAAGGGATTGCAATGTGGTCATCTCTCCCTCCCCCACACCCCCCCCACTGGGGAGGGGCAGTGATTTCTCACTTTCTGTCTGTCTGTTGCTCTGTCTTCGGTGAGTGCGTGCGCCCTAGCAAAAATCACTCTTAAAAAAAAAAAAGAAAAGATAAAAGCGGAAGGGAGTGGATTAACTTGGCATTCGACTGCAGTTGAACAACAGGGCTAATACAAGTTGATCAATTTTTCTCCAAACTGTTTAACCAGAGCAGCTCATAGGGCCAAACTATGTTAATTTTACTTTGTCTTCTCCTTTGCTGTAGTCTGGTAGACTTGCTAACAATCAACAAAATGGATAAATTGTTTTACAGGAGACAGCTGGAACTCTTGAGAATCACATGATTTGATTCTTAACCACCAGGCTCCAGACTGGCCTGTTCACATTACTGTTCTGTATCTACTTGGTCTTCTGAACTGCTTAATCTACAAAAGGCTTTCCTAAGTGGATACCCAGCAAAAGCCCTTGGATCAGAGGGAGTACTTTCCTCTACTTCAAGGTTATTAAGTCTATTTTCTGGCTTTTTTTTGGGGGAGAGACTTTTGCTATAGGGCATGTGCGCTCACCAGAAAGACAGAGACATAGAGACAGAAAGTGAGAAATCACCCCCTGGGGGGATGGCCACGCCGCAGTCTCTTCTCCTCCATTCTCCTCTTGGAATCTTGGGCATGCACGCACATGCCCCCAGAGTGAGTTTAAGCCACCGGGTCCAGGACTCGAACCACGGTCGGCTACATGGGAGTCCAGCGACATAGCCATTATGCTAACTTCTGGTCCATTCTGGCTTTTTTTTTTTTTTTTTTTTTTTTTTTTTTACAGTAAGACTTGGTGTACACAGTAATCATTGAAAACCTTTTCATACACTTTTATGGAAGACTTTTTATTTTTTGCCAGAAGCACATAGTATTACTGTTATTCTTTTAAAAGAAAAAGAATAGTCAGAAATAATTGAAAACATTTTTTAATCCACAACTAATATTTATGCAATATTTGAACATTATCATGAAAACCTACTTAATACTGTAATAGCAGAATAAAGAAAAATAGTTTCATTATCATTTGTACATACACGTGTTTGTATTTTTCTCATTCTTTTAAAGGAAATCATTGGTGGGATGCTGGATGTAGAACCAAGACTTTGGAGGAAAGGGATCCGAGAAAACTTTGAAGATCAGAGGAAGAAAGCACTGCAATTTTCTCAGTGGTGGAAACCATATGACTTCACTAGAAGTAAAAAATGTTGAGCTGTATCTTTCGTTTTAATTTCCTCTTCAAATCCCATTCACTTCTGTTTCCATTGCATCTAACTAAACAAGTGATCTTCAGATGAGAAAGAAAATCATGGCAGGAGATTGCCCTAGATCTCTGATAGCTATGTATCATTTTCCCCACCTGTTCATGTGGACCTCATTGTATTGCCCATGAAGAAGGAGCAGATCTAGTGAATGAGTTGCTGACATTCCCGTTCTTTTTTCTTTTCTGTTTTTATTTGCCAGTGGGCATGTATGCTCCATGGGTGTGTGGATTTGCCAGTAGGCATGTGTGCTTACTGGGAGGGAGGGGGAGATAAAGGAGTGTAGGGGAGAGAAAGTACCTCCCGCCCCATGTGGAATGGGTCATGCTGCAGTCTCTTTTCCACCTTTTTTTTTTCTTTTGGGATTTTGGGCATACTTGAACATGCACCCAGCATGTTTTTCAAGCTGACGGGTCCAGGACTCACACCAGCAGTGGTCATTTGGGATCCAGCTCACTTAACCACCAGGCCACAGGCTGGCTGTTCACATTACTGTTCTGTTCCTACTTGGTCTTCTGAACTGCTTAGAATCTACAGAAGGCTTTTCTAAATGGCTATCTAGCAGAAGCCCTTGGTTCAGAGGGAGATCTTTCCTTTACTTCAAGATTATTAAGTCTATTTTCTGTTTTTCTGTTTTTTTTTTTTCACATTTTTTACAGTGAGACTTGGTATACACAATAATCATTTAAAACCTTTTCATACGATTTTATGTAAGGGTTCTTAATTTTCTACCAGTAGTGTATAGTATTACTACTGGTATTTTTTGTTAAAAGAAAAAGAATGTCTCAAAAGTATTGTTGAATTAAGTAATAATGACAATATACATATTTAGAATTTTTTTAATCTGAATTTTCAAAATAGTGTTTATGAATTTGAATGGTTTCAAAAGTAATTGTTCCAAATAACACAATTTACAGTTGTTTGGAGCTTGTATGACAATGTAAAATATATAGCCAAATTGTTTTGGGCTGTGTGTTGGCTATTACAAAATCTTAAGTAGTAAGAGTATTCTAAGTGAATGGAGGAGAAGGGATTGCGGCGTGACCATCCCTCCTGGCGGGTGATTTCTCGCTTTCTGTCTCTATGTCTCTCTCTGTCTGTCTGGCGAGCGCACAGGCCCTATAGCGAAAAACCTCTCCAAAAAAAAAAAAAAACCCAAAAAAGTATTCCATGTAACAAGTGTATACTTTGTTGTCCCTCAGTTGATTTAGGGTACTTAATTTTTATTTATTCTCAACATGTAATGTTAAGAGAAAAATTGGTGCTTTCAAAATATGGTTATTATGTAAGAATGCTTCTGCTTGTCCTTTCCTTCTTCTGATATATGGCAAATGTTGTTATCTTTTTCAAAGATGCTGTTGTTTTAGAAGCTGAACTTTGACATTTTGTCATGAAATACTGACTACCTAAAATCAGTGTGGTACATACTCCAGAGTAACTCATAAACTACACGTGTATTTTTTAATATGAATATATCATTATTTTTAATATTAAAAAAGAGAAAAGTTTTTGTCCCATCTGTAGTTTTCTTTTCTTTTCTTTTTTTTTTTTTTTTTGACTGGAGGACATGTGTACTCATTAGAGAGAGGCAGAGAGAGAGGGCATGGTCATGCTGTAATCCCTTCTCTTCCATCTCTTTTCTCCTTTAGGATTTTGGGCATGTGTGCACACACACATGTGTGTTTCTTAAGCTGCCAGGTCTGGACCTTGAATCATATAGTTAGCCATGTGAGATCTAGCAGCCTTAATTACCAGGTCATGGAGCCAGCTCTATAGGTTTTGTTTTGTTTTGTTTTTTAATTTAAAGAGTTGTGGCTTTTCAGTTTTTACATTCGATTATATTGTGTTGTATTGTGTGGATGTGCATATATCTTTATAGATGCTTGGTAGTATTATATTTATTATTGTTTTAACATTTTTTTTTGAGAGATTTTCGCTATACGGCGCGTGCACTCTCCAGACAGACAGAGAGACATAGAGACAGAAAGCGAGAAATCACCCCCCAGGGGTGATGGTCACACCGCATTCCCTTCTCCTCCATTCTTCTCTCGGGGTCTTGGGCATGCACGCACACGTGCCCGGCATGAGTTTTAAGCCACCAGGTCCGGGACGCGAACTGTGGTTGACTATGTGGGAGTCCAGCGACATAGCCATTACACTATTTGCTGGTTCCCAACTGTTTTAACTCTTTCAAGATTGCTCCAAATTCTTAAAGGAATGCATAGCATTCATTTATTCATTCAATGAAGTAATAATATTTGTTTGTAGAATGGTATGTGTTAAGTGCTGGTAGTGCCCAAATAAAAAGTACTTAACCCTAAATTATTTTAGAGTTTGGTGGAAAAGCAGGCATTTGCATGAACAATTATAATACAGTTTGATAGTTCTAAAGTGAGATCTGTGCCAAGTATGTTTGAGTACAGTGCTAGCTAAAAAATGACTTTACATCTCTCCTGTCTTTATTCTCTATGTCTTCTTGTAAAAACTTGTAAATCATGTCATCAAAAACATAAAATGTGGAATGTGATGGAGTAGACAAACTGTGTAGTTATTTTATGGGGTCAAAGTTGTTCATACAACTTTTGTGATAGGTATATTTTATATAGGCTCATGGTAATCACAAAACAAAAACCCATAGGAGATGCAAAAAATATAGAAAGTAAGGAATCAAGGCATATCACTAGAGAAAAGTATCAACCACAAAGGAAGACAGCAAGAGAGGAAGAAAGGAACAAAAGATCTACAAAACGACTGGAAAATGACAAACCAGCAGTAGTTAAGCCCATACCTATCAATAATCATCTGGAACGCTAATATATTAAACTTTCCTAAAGACACAGAATGGTTGAGTGGATTAAAAAAGAAAAACGAAATCTTTATGATGCTTACTGGACATATTTGACCTTTAAGGTTACACATAAATTAAAAGTGAGATATGAAAAATGTATTTTCTCCAAATGGAAACCAAAAGAGAGCAAGGGTAGCTATAATTATCTCAGATAAAACCGATCATAAAGTAAAAACTGTAAAAAGAAACAAGAACTGGCCATTTTGTGAAGAGTTGGAGACAGAGCAGTTGTAGCCACATTTCCTACCTCCAGCTGCAGTCGGTTTCTTTGCCTAGATCCTGGGAGTGAGAGATTAAGAAACCAATCTCTTTTTTCTCATTTTCTTGGTTACAAATCTCTTGAAATATATTAAGTTAGTGGAACTTTGCTTGAGTGAGGTTTTTTTGATCTTCAGCTACACTTTTTGACTTCGTGAGGAATCTTACCATCAGTCGCAATGGCCAGCAATGTCACCAACAAGACAGATCCTTGCTCCATGAATTCCTGTATATTCATTGGGAATCTCAACACTCTTGTGGTCAAGTCTGATGTGGAGGCAATCTTCTTGAAGTGTGGAAAAATTGTGGGTTGCTCTGTTCATAAGGGCTTTGCCTTTGTTCAGTATGTTAATGAGAGGAATGCCCAGGCTGCTGTGGCAGGAGAGGATGGCAGGATGATTGCTAGCTAGGTTTCAGATTTTAATCTGGCTGCAGAGCCAAAAGTGAATCGAGGAAAAGCAGGGGTGAAACGATCTGCAGCGGAGATGTACGGGTCAGTACCAGAACACCCTTCTCCGTCCCCTCTACTCAGCTCCTCTTTTGATTTGGACTATGACTTTCAACACGATTATTATGACAAGGTGTACGATTACCCAGCATGTGTTCTACCTCCACCTCCTATTGCTTGTGCTGCTGTGCCCTCGAAACGCCAGCGTGTATCAGGGAACACTTCACGGAGGGGCAAAAGCTTTAATTCTAAGAGTGGACAACGAGAATCATCTTCCAAGTCTGGAAAGTTGGAAGGAGATGGCATTCAGGCCGTTAAGGAGGAGTTGACCCAGATAAAACAAAAGGTGAATTCTCTTCTGGAAAACCTGGAAAAAATCAAAAAAGAAATGGGGCAAACAAACAGATGTGAAGAATGGTAAGTCAGAAGAGGAGCAAAGCAGCAGCTCCCAGAAGAAAGATGAGACTCATGTGAAGACGGAGTCTGAGGCGGGTGCAGATGACGGCTGAGGAGGGGGACCTACTGAATGATGATGATAATGAAGATGGGGGATGACCAGCTAGAGTTGATCAAGGATGATGAAAAAGAGGCTGAGGAATGAGAGGATGACTCTTAAGCACATTGTGGGGTTTAGAAATCTTACCCATTATTTCTTTACCTAGGTGCTTGTCTAAGATCAAAATTTTCACCAGATCATCTCCCCTATTATCTTTAGCACATGCTCACTGTTCTCCCCGTCTTTGTCCTTCCCATATTCATTAATTCATACTGCCCTGTGCATGGTCCCATTTCACTTCTTTTGATGCTCCTAGTTCTGTTAAGTCTTATTATCCTGTAATTTTACTTTTAATTTTGATACCTCTTTATGACTTAACAATAAAAAGGATGTATGATTTTTATCACCTGTCTCCAAAATAATGTCTTGTTACACAGGGACTATAGTTCTTTTCGTTCGTTTATGAATTCAGTAGTTGCTTCCCTAACTTCAAGGGCAGTGTCATCTAGTTGAGTAGCACCTGAGAGCAGCTTTGATTTGGAAGTGTATGTTTTATACCCCACATTAGAGTGGTGTGTGGGACTGTTCAACACAAATGTAACAGTGTATTTTTGTAAATGGGAATTGGCATGTCAAATGCATTCTCTAGAAAATAGTGTAATAGTCTTAAGATTTGTTTTCTAAAGTTGATACTGGGGTTTATTTTTGTGAACAGCCTGATGTTTGGGACCTTTTTCCCCCTCAAAGAAGTCCTTATTAAATGAGGAATTTGGAAAGAAAAAAAAAAAGAAACAAGAACCATTATATAGTGATAAAGGGGTTATTGATCAAGAAATTATAACAGTCTTGCAAATATATATGTACCTAATATCAGAGCATCTAAGTATACAAAGCAAATACCAATAGATATGAAGGGAGAGACCACAAAAAATAATAGTAAAGGACTTTAATACCCACTTCCAACAATGGATAGATCAGACAGAATATCAAGAAGGAAGTGTTAGAATTGAACTATGGACAAATGAATCTAACAGACACATACAGAGCATTTCATCCAACAACAGTAGAACGTTAATTTGTTGACAAGTGGAACATTTTTCAGGATAGAGCATATATTAGGGCACAAAACAAGATTTAACAAATTTAAGGGGCCAGTAGGTGGTGTGGTGGTTGAGGCGCTGGCACTCCCACATGGCTGACAATGGTTTGAGTTCCAGACCTGGTGGCTTGCTTTCTCATTTTCCCGCTCTCTGTGTGTGTGTCTTTCTGGTCAAGTTAAAAGAAAGAA